GGTCGGGCACCACGGGGCCGTTGTGTGCCGCGGGGCCATCGCTTACCGAGGGCTCCTCGCTGAGCTTTGTGCTCGCTGCCGGTTTGACGGCTGGTTTTTTGGAGCGGTCGACCTGCGTTCAGAGGAAGCGTTAGTATGTGTGTGTGTGTGTGTGAGAGTGTGTGTGGTAAGATGTCAAAATGGCTGAAAAACTAAATTCGAATTTTGTACTTAAATATTATCAATATTCAAATTATATTCAAATTTAAAAGGCATAATTTCAGTTAGGGGGGAAAAACGCTTTTGGCTTCTCTCTCGAGGCCACAAGAGGGCGCATCGAGCAAAATATTACTAATGCATGTTTCTTCAAAGCAATAAAATAACACGACTATCTTTGAAAAAAGTGCATAATGTTTAAAATAATATTTATAAACCATATACAATTCATTAAGTTGCTTAAACAATTAGAAACAAAACAGCATCATGTATGCATGTATAGTTTAATACAAAGGACCGAAAACCAATCACAAAGAGTACTTTCTTAATTTAATCTAATCAAGTTGAACTTACATTATTTTTACATGGCTTTCTAAACATGCGGCTCTTGTGCGAGATGCGAGTGCAACGGTGATAGATGTCCCTCTAGAAAATGAGATAAATACGTTCTGTGTGAACGGCTTGGTTTCAGTTTTGACGTAAACAGCATCTTCCCCCGCATTGATTTTCTCTTTTTCCGCAATATTTAGAATGAACAACGCAGCAGCGCAGCATCTAGTGGCTTCAACTGGATAGACTAACAAAAACATTAAAATGCAACGACACTTACATCCACTGATAAAGCTGCCTGACGCACACCTAAATTCTAATGCTACGTTTTTGCATTCGAATGTGGATTTTTATTTTAAATTCAACGAATATTCAAAATTAGCATTTTTATTTGACAGCCCTAGTGTGGATCGCGGAGCGCTCTGCTCCAGGTGTAACTCACTAGGGCTGTCAAATAAAAATGCTAATTTTGCTCAGGAGGGAAGCCAAAAGCGTTTATCCCCCTCTAACTGAAATGATGCCTTTTAAATTTGAATAGTATTTGAATATTGATAATATTTAAGTAAAAAATGTAAATGAGTTTTTCAGGCATTTGGCAGCCCTGTAACTCGCCTGTGGAGTGTGTCGGGGCGAGGCGGCGGCGGCGGCGTCTGTTATTGTGGGCTGTGTGAGCGGCGCGGGGGTGTTTACAGCCGGCTCCGGATCCACGGTTCTGCCATTCAGCTGCGCGTCTGCAGGCTCCTCACACACACTCACGGCTTCGGGCTCCTCCAGCGACGGGTACGAGAAGTTCACTGAAACCACAGCAACAGCTTCACTGCATTCACGGAGCAGCATAGACAGAACATGCACACTAGCAGCATCCACACACACACACACAAGAACCCTCTGCTTATGCTTTCGTCGTCTGTCGCTTTAAATGCTTGGCTCCTTTCTGATTGGCTGTCAATGTTTTTGTTGTTCATCAGATGAAAATATTGTTCTGAAAGTGATTCCAGTGATATTATTCCTCCGTGTCGATGTATTTCTGGTGTAGAAATTATATTTATATTTCACTATGCTCATAGAGTTAGTGATTATTAAAACTTTATAGTTATCATTATAGTTATTGTCTTTAGTGTTAATGGGCTTTAAGGGGAGTGTTCATCCAAAAATGCTGTCATCATTTACTGTCATCATCATGTATGAGTTTCTTGGCTTGAACACAAAAGAAGATATTTTGAGCAATGTTGGTAACCGAACTATTGACTTCCACAGTATGAGAAAAAAATACTACAGTGGTCAGTAATTGGGGACTAGAAACTGTTTGGTTACTCACATTCTTCAAAATATCTTCATTTTTGGGTGAACTATCCCTCTAACACTCAACATCAGCCTATTCAGCTCAATTAATTTATTTTTATTGCCATACCAGCATCTATGGCTCCTATTAATTTATTCATCTATTTGCCGTTTATTGTTGATCATCACAATATTTTTCATATGCATGCATTCGAGATCGCACGTTTCTGCGTCTTCCTCGACTGTGTTTTTGACAGTGACTCTAGACTCATTCAGGAGATGCGTAATAGCGCCCCCTAGCGTATAACAGTGAAAACACGCAAACCCAGAAAATTCTGGTTTTGGTGGGGAAAGAGTTAATATCCACAATGCATATCAGCGCATGATAAATCATATGATGTGTGTGCTGTGAGACTCACGTTGGGGCAGGCTGCTGGCCGTCTGCTGTCGGGGGGGTTTGACTTTAGCGTTGCTGCTGTACATTGGGTAAAAGAGCAGCCAGTTATCATATCCTCCATCCAGCACCAGAGGCTCACTGCGCAGGATCGTGCTGCTGTCCCACTGCACACACACACACACACACACATCAGATACAACACACACATCAGATACGACACACACACACACATCAGATACGACACACACACACTCACATCAGATACGACACACACACACTCACATCAGATACGACACACACACACTCACATCAGATACGACACACACACACTCACATCAGATACGACACACACACACTCACATCAGATACGACACACACACACTCACATCAGATACGACACACACACACTCACATCAGATACGACACACACACACTCACATCAGATACGACACACACACACTCACATCAGATACGACACACACACACTCACATCAGATACGACACACACACACTCACATCAGATACGACACACACACACTCACATCAGATACGACACACACACACTCACATCAGATACGACACACACACACTCACATCAGATACGACACACACACACTCACATCAGATACGACACACACACACTCACATCAGATACGACACACACACACTCACATCAGATACGACACACACACACTCACATCAGATACGACACACACACACTCACATCAGATACGACACACACACACTCACATCAGATACGACACACACACACTCACATCAGATACGACACACACACACTCACATCAGATACGACACACACACACTCACATCAGATACGACACACACACACTCACATCAGATACGACACACACACACTCACATCAGATACGACACACACACACTCACATCAGATACGACACACACACACTCACATCAGATACGACACACACACACTCACATCAGATACGACACACACACACTCACATCAGATACGACACACACACACTCACATCAGATACGACACACACACACTCACATCAGATACGACACACACACACTCACATCAGATACGACACACACACACTCACATCAGATACGACACACACACACTCACATCAGATACGACACACACACACTCACATCAGATACGACACACACACACTCACATCAGATACGACACACACACACTCACATCAGATACGACACACACACACTCACATCAGATACGACACACACACACTCACATCAGATACGACACACACACACTCACATCAGATACGACACACACACACTCACATCAGATACGACACACACACACTCACATCAGATACGACACACACACACTCACATCAGATACGACACACACACACTCACATCAGATACGACACACACACACTCACATCAGATACGACACACACACACTCACATCAGATACGACACACACACACTCACATCAGATACGACACACACACACTCACATCAGATACGACACACACACACTCACATCAGATACGACACACACACACTCACATCAGATACGACACACACACACTCACATCAGATACGACACACACACACTCACATCAGATACGACACACACACACTCACATCAGATACGACACACACACACTCACATCAGATACGACACACACACACTCACATCAGATACGACACACACACACTCACATCAGATACGACACACACACACTCACATCAGATACGACACACACACACTCACATCAGATACGACACACACACACTCACATCAGATACGACACACACACACTCACATCAGATACGACACACACACACTCACATCAGATACGACACACACACACTCACATCAGATACGACACACACACACTCACATCAGATACGACACACACACACTCACATCAGATACGACACACACACACTCACATCAGATACGACACACACACACTCACATCAGATACGACACACACACACTCACATCAGATACGACACACACACACTCACATCAGATACGACACACACACACTCACATCAGATACGACACACACACACTCACATCAGATACGACACACACACACTCACATCAGATACGACACACACACACTCACATCAGATACGACACACACACACTCACATCAGATACGACACACACACACTCACATCAGATACGACACACACACACTCACATCAGATACGACACACACACACTCACATCAGATACGACACACACACACTCACATCAGATACGACACACACACACTCACATCAGATACGACACACACACACTCACATCAGATACGACACACACACACTCACATCAGATACGACACACACACACTCACATCAGATACGACACACACACACTCACATCAGATACGACACACACACACACACACACATCAGATACGACACACACACACACTGAGCTGGAGGTACAGTACCTTATAGAGAGCATCCTTCAGACTCTGTAGAGTGGTGCCCAGTTTGAGATCAGAGACGCAGCTGAACCAGTCCAGCAGAACCACGTAATCCACGAAGCCGCGGCGCTTCCAGTCCTCCAGAGACTCTGCCGGGAGCTTCAGCTGGATCTGATTCACCGTCACCCTGAGCATTAGCAGCACACGAGAGTATTCAATATTCATATACACGAGTGAAGCAGATTACTGAAAAAGAAAACATGTAGGGCGGGACTTGGTTCTATTTGTCAGTTGTTGATTGGACTCAACTTAAAGCTAGTTGCAGAGGCAACATTTGTCATTTTCATTTAGTTTAACTTTATGTACTAAAATAACAAAAATTAAATGTAAAAACTATATAGACATGTTTAAAAAAAATCACTAAAATTTAACCCACATACAAAGGAAAATGGAAAACACAAACATTTAAACTAATTTAAAATATAAAACAAAACTATAAAAGTATCTTGATACTAAAATAACACTAATAGCAGAAGACCAGCATATATCACTGTCACTTCACTAGCTGTTATGACATTCTGATTAAAGGTTACAAGGTCAAAAACATTCGTATAAAATGAAACGCGAACGGATGAATCTTTCACAATAAGTTGCATTTAGAAAATAGATTTTTGGAACATGTGAAATGCAGACTTCACTATTATTTCACTAACGGGTGATGATGGGTAACTGGGCAGATGAAAGCACATTGAGATGAGTGTGTGTGTGTGTGTGTGTGTGTGTGTGTGTGTGTGTGTGTCTGTGTGTGAGTGTGTGTGTGTGTGTCAGTGTGTCTGTGTGTGACTGTGTG